CCCCAAAACCCCAAAACCCCAAAACCCCTTAATAAAAATATTAAGCGAATTTTGAAAAATTTTACTAAAATTTAAATGGAAAATCACTCGCAAATAGTTTCACAAATCAAAAATTCGTTTCATCTTGGAAAGTACACTGATTATACTGAGCTGCTTACTTCATCCGCACCCTCTGATGTGAAGCTTGAAAAAATGGAAGATGGCTCAGTTGGCTTTGAATGCCTTTTCCACTTAGAGCAAAAGCCTGAGAATAACTCTGCATTATCTAAGACCACTTCTATAAGTTTTTACTCTATCAATGCTTATATCAATAATTACTCTGAGATGTATTCAGACGATTACTCTGCTCATCAATGCCTGCTTATCATTGAAAGGGACTAGAAGGGCAAACTAATAAAGTCTAAGTTTATATCTAAAGACAGCAAATCAATGGCTTAAACTGATTAAATTGTAACTAACTCTTCTATTTACTTAACTTGTCAGAGTCAAAACTCGATAGTGCATTATTGCTGTTTCTGGGGACTTTCAGACATCCTATACACTCTGATAAAAACCATTCCAAATCTGAAGCTCTTTCACAAAAACAAGGTAAGACTTCTTATATCTCGTTTAACTAAGATAACCCCTTAGTTAGTACAACAAAAATCCATATGAAATTGCCTATCTGAGGTCTGACGAAAATCTGCTACGCATTTAACAAACTCCATACTATGGCAAGTTCAAAACTTGCTTTCAAATACTTTAGGATAAGATGCCTCCATAGACGATACCTGACTGGATATACTCTGATTTCAACATATCAATTGACAAGATTGGCTAATCCAATCCATTTCAAATAAACTATTATATGGAGAGAAGAGACATCAGGATACTAGACTTTAAGAGAATGAAAATTCAAAAGGGGTCAATACTAGAGATACATGACACAGAAATAGTTTACTTGGGCATATATAATAAATCCAACGTAAGTTCTGTAATTATCATTCTTAAAATAAAATAGGTGATAATAAGAGAGATATTTGGAGAGTATTGCAACTTGAGAATGCAAAAGAGTGTTGAGAGATAGTTGAAGTTGCTAGCTTTGATTTAGCATGAGAATTACTTGAATCTTATAGGAGTTACCTTGGATGAGTCAACATCAAAGCTATATTTTATACATGAGAATTTCTCAATGAACACACTACATAAAATACTTTAAAGTATGTTCCAATTTCACAAAACATTTTACTAGAAAAGTTGGATTTTTATTCCACAGAGGAGAAGTACTTTATTCTAAGGCAAATTGCTGCCTATTTCCTATACATTCACCTGTACTTCCCAGATTCTTATCTTCATCTGAATCTAACACCACATTCTATCCTAATAGACGAGAAAGACCTATCTGTTAAGGTCAAAGAACTAGGAACCAGACCCAATATAGCTAATGATCCGCAGTTCATTTCAAATAGTACCTATGGTTCGACATTCCCGCCAGAAATCATAAATCAAAACCAAAATCTATCTGTATTTAGCGACACTTACATGCTGGGATAGATAGCCTACATTATATTTGCTATGGGAAAGCTAGATGAAAGTGATTAGTAAGAGCTATTGATACAAGGCTTAAGTTCTAAAGATTTGATACTCCAGTAGATTAAAGATAAAAAGGCTATTCTAGAGAAGATTAAAGATATGCCTGAGGATATTAAAGAAATTATACAAGGTACTATACTTTTTGATGAAAGGAAAAGACTTCACATTATTGAGATAGTTGGGATTCTCAAGGCTTTCTGAAGTAATGTCTGTTCAAATTTTCAAGCTTTTGATTTATTGATTATAATTATTAAAGTAATCACAATTATATAGATTGAGGGGTTTTGGGGTTTTGGGGTTTTGGGG